TGATTGTCCGCGTAACTTTTGAAGTTAAATTAAATGTCTGCACAGTGGTATGCGGGCGAGGGTGCAGCTGAGTGGACTGATCTCGGATGACATTGCATTTGCCTCTGGTATGAAGCAAGGCTGTCTCTTAGCTCCTGCCCTGTTAAGTACTTATCCTCATGCCGTGATGTCTTGTGCTTTTGATGCTGCTTGTTTTTACGGTGTTCTTGTGGAGCACCGTATTGATGATGGATTGCTGAACATCCGTCGTTTCGGTACGAGCACAATAGTCTGTGAGACGACTATCTGTGTTTTGCTGTTTGCTGAATACTGTGCGTTGTTTGTACACAATGCGGATGAGTTGCAGCACATGACTAGTGCTCTGGCTTCGACAGTGGCCGAATTCGGGCTTACCTTCAACATTATCAGAATTGTCTCTCTTTTAGTTTCGAATCAGCCGCGAATCAGCATTGGTGCTGAAGTATTGGAAACCACCTCCAGCTTCTGCTACCTTGGGAGTGTGATGTCGATTGACCAGCGGCCACACAACGAGCACCGTATCCGAGTGTCGAAGGGCGCGGCGACATTTGGAAAGCTAGAGTACAGAGTGTGGAATTACCGTCAGCTTACCATTGATACAAAGTTGGGGGTGTACACATCCACGGTAGCGAAACGTGGACGATGTACCTGTGGGATGTGTGATACTTCGTGCGGTTCCATCAACAGTGTTTGCAACGGATTCTACGCATCGGTTGGTGCGACAGAGTTTCGAACATGGGAGTGTTGCGCCGAAGTGGTATGTATGCAGTGGACTGTCTCCTTTTACTGCTACACCTTAAGTGGCTCGGTCATGTGTGGCGTATGGATTCGACGCGGATACAGAATCAGCCATTATAATGTCCGCTGAGTGTTGGGAAGCGGCATGTGGGGAAATCGAATCTTTATTACCAGGACATGATCAAAGTGAGCCTGTCACCTTCTAATGCTGATTGCAGGTCATGGGAATCGAAGGCGGTTGCTCGACTTGCATGGTGCGATCTGATCAAGAAGGTACTTGCCTAGGTGCGGGAGAAAGCCGTCGTGAATGCGGGGAAGAAGCGGCAAGTGCGGAAGCGACAGTCGCAGATGGGTTGTACTCCATCGACATCGAGCTCATAGTGCTGTAGCACATGCGGTCGCGGGTGCCTGAGTCATGCAGGCCTAGTGAGCTTTGAGAGAGGCCACTCATGACCGCCATCGAAGTGACGAAGGGTCCTGCAGAGAAGGTAGACAGAACCGGCGCAGCGGTGCATTCGACTTACTAACTGCTTGGTTGCATGCTGGGTTACTTTGTTGCAGGAGGTGGGTTTAATATCTTGTCACATTAATGTCTACGTGACATATCTTCCATTTACTTGCACACGTCGTTCCAGTTAACTGTAGTTGAGTATGAATCATTTTCGCATTTGTAACAATTACGTAAATGTATTTTCAGACATCTTCAACTAATCGCGGATATTGTAGCGATCAAAATATTTCATATGCTTATTATAAGAAGAGTTATATCAGCATAACTTTATGCATTATTCGATTTATTTTTTGACATCGTCGTTTCAAGTGTTTGGCTTTTGATTGACATACCCTATGTGACTGCGCCTGATGTACACGTTGACAAGCTGCCTGGCTGTCTATTACCTACTACTTCGTCCATACTGGCTCCAGGATACAGTTGGTCTTTACTGAAAGGGACAGGGAGCACGGTCCTTGTGGTCGTGCTAGTCTCGCCGAGTGGTTCCATGCATTCAGTGTGGAGCGGACTACGGTCCAGCCACCGCCTAGTGTGCACTTGATTCCCCAAATACAGCGTGCTTGTGTTTGCCTGTGAAGGAGTGTGGGCCGGCGCGATTGATGAAACATAGCTTCGATCCACATGTCTCCCGGTCTTATTCCTTCGAATTTTCATTGGATAAGAGGAGTGTGGTTCGAGCTGTGTGTGGAGCAGCGCAAGCTTGCAGGCGCAGGTGTCCTGTGGGTGGCCACAGGGAAATCCGAAACCGGATGCCACCAACCACACATGCATGCATGTATCCTCGATGCTGTGGCTGATATAGCATTCATGATGCTTCTTCACCGCAGTTGGGATTAACCATCTTGCACTTAAACGAGGTCCTTATAAATTGGATAAATTTCATTCCAAATATTTTAGTTTGTTCTGCTTACCTGAATACTTTTCTATTAACTTGCACTCGTTGCTTATGCTAATTGTGGTTATCTTTGCTACCTTCATCGCCTTTGTAGCATTTAGGAGTAAATTGCGGACATTTTGTATTAATCGCGAATTCGTTGCTGATCAGTGCATTTCGCATGCTCATTTAGTGACAAATTATAGCATTGTAATTATTTGAATTATTTTATTTATTTTATTTGAGATCGTCATTTCAACTGATTGGCTGTTGTTTGATATCACCAGTGTGGCTGCGTTTGATGTGCATGTTGACCAGGTGCCTACCTGTCTATTATCCACTACCTCGTTCATAATGGCTCCAGGAGAAAGTTGGTCATTGCTAAAGGGACAGAGTGCACGGTCCTTGTAACCGTGCTAGTTTCCAAGGGTGGTTCCATGCACTAAGTGTGGAGCGGACTACGGCCCAGCCGCCGCCTTGTGTGTGCTTGATTCCCAAGTACGGCGCGTTTGTGTTTGTATGTGAAGGAGTGTGGGCCGGCTCCGTTGAGGAAACGTGACACCTATTCACATACATCCCGATCTTATTCCTTCGGATTTGCACTGAATATGGGAGTGTGGTTGGATCTGTGGGTGGTTCAGCTCAAGCCACCCATGGTTACCCTCCGTAAGCGCAGGCGTCCTGTTACCGGCCACGTTGATTGACAAATCCAAAACCAAATACGATAAGCTTATCAGTCACTCCAAAGTCACCCATCCGTCAGTCGCACTGACATTGTTTGTCTTGCTTAGAATAAGCTAATTTTAGGTTAAACCCGGTGACATTAACGACGCACTGTAAAATCTAATTCCATACATATACATACTGCGACATTTATTTTCATGTCGTTATTCATATTTGACATAACGACGAATAAGACGTCCAACTTAAGCTATTGGCTCTTTAGTAATTTAGGTGGTTGACTAACAAAAGCGTCAAAACTTTCTGAGTACACAAAAGACATTAAACTTCTGGTCACCATTGCATTTCCAATGCAACTCGTTTGGCTCGTTTTCATGCACTTATATACCGGATTTCGTTTCTTTTGCAATTTGATTAGATAGGATTCAGTTTGGCTGGTGTTTGGTTTAACGCTTTATGTTTAACAGCTAAGCGTATGTTAGAAGCGAGTAACACTAGTGCCATCCTTAAAGTAGAACTTACAGCTGATGGCGTTGTTGACTGCTTATCTATGGGTGCAAGAACGTTGCCAGCAACCAGCTGCATTTGGTTGGCGGCATCCGGTTCCGGATTCGCCTCTCTGAATCCTCCCAGGGACAACCACAGGACGCCTGCGTCCACAGAAGGTGATCATGAGTGGCTTGAGCTGAACCACCCACAACTCCAACCACACTCCCATATTCAGTGCAAACCCGAAGGAATAAGATCGGGATGCATGTGAATAGGTGTCACGTTTCCTCAACGGAGCCGGCCCACACTCCTTCACATACAAACACAAACACGATGTACTTGGGAATCAAGCACACACAAGACGGTGGCTGGGCCGTAGTCCGCTCCACACTGAGGTCATGGAACTACTGTTCGAGCGTAACAAGGTGCCGAGGACGGTGCACCGCGTCCCCCCAGGAACGATTGACAGGCTGCTGAAGCCAGTGATCAAGGTAGAGGGTGTTAGGTAGACACCGTGCCAATATACACGTCAAGCGCAACCCACGGTGGATTGCAAACCGCAGCTAATCACGTAAGAAAATTACAATTAAAATACGTCAAAAGCACCATATGGATGAGCCGGTATATTAGCACGTCATATCAATGTATTATCAACACAACTGCAATAACTTAAAGTTGTCAGATAAAGAGTGAAAAAAGGTACGCAAAATAGACAACCAAACAAAGTTTAGCACCTTCCGTTTAACCGACATACGCGATTTAGTAGATTATTTATTCAATCGTTAAAATGAGCTCCGAACATAAGCATTAAGACAAGATAGCAAGTCCACCACCTGAAATAAAAAAGCAGCACGCAAGCACACGGTTACTAAATCAAGTGCAGTGTACCTAGCAACGCTGCCGCGGTTCCGTTCATATTTTCAGCAGGAACTGTCTTCGTTTTGGTGCTGGGCGGGAGTGGCCTAGCTCGTGGCTCACTAGACCTGTCTGACTCTGGTAGTTAGCTGCATTTAACAGTTTAGTAATTTGCAGGAAAATAATGTTTTTCGTTCAGGATGGTCAATTTGATGTCGTTTTAGTAACGCTTGCTAAACAATCCGACGTCAGCAAATTCTGTAGCATATCCATCCATTAGTAAATAGGTGGGACAGATGTTTGTGCGGTTTTGCGTAAACCCAACCGGGCCTCTTACTAACTATTCAGAACTCATTGCTGCCACATAAACATACTGTAAAGCAAACTGACTGTTAGTCCTAAATCGATAACTTCATTTTGTTCGACGGTAATACAGATGCGTAGGTATGCAGCTCAACAGTGGGTGGCATAATATTTAGCACAAATTAGTTGCCTCGGGACTGAGCTTGTTTACCTCAAACATGTCTCCATGCAGGTGACACCAACAACTAGGCATGTAAAAGTCAACCACTCCTATTTACTTTTCGTTCGCAAGGGTTCACGAAATCACTAACTGCTAGTAGCTAGCGTTTCGATGACAGCGCTGTGCTATTTGTTGCGCAGCTGTGGTGGGAATTACGCGTAATTTTCCGCCTCGCACGCTCTTTGCCGCCCACATGTGCACAGAAGGCGGTGATGAATGGAGCCTAGTCTGATTGGTGGCATTGGATAATGTGCTTGTCCAACAGTAGTACCATGAACAGTGGGCGATGAAAGCTCACAATGCGTTCAAAGCGAGATGTGCGAAGTGGCTATTTCCGGTTCATGCGAGGACATGCTCTGTATCCGACGTACTTGTGGATTAGGCCATGTTTGATATTCTTTCTTGTCCTGATTGCATTCAATATTTCCGTAACCGGCAAGTTGATGTGTCGAAATCGGCTCAGGAAGAGGGATTTGGCAGATGCAGGAAACAAGGAGAAAAAACCATGTTGCCTACCAGAGACATGGAAGGCCAGATTTGTGGTTCATAGTATTGCGGGTGGCAATCACAAGAGCAGAGTGGACCATGGAGCGTTTCGAATGTATCGCTGGCCCGACGGAACTGTTCATAGTGCTGTACTGGTTGTCGGTAAACTGGTCGCATCCCCGGAATTTTGCCATCTCACACCGTCGAATTTGTCACAGCTGACGGAATCTCTCTGTCCAGAGGACCGAGTGGCATGTCTACGTGCCCCGTACCTTGGAGAACCAAGGTGCTTAACAGAGAAAAATGGCTATACACTTAAACGTTCGCGTCCAGATCCGAAGACAGGCAAAGTTGTACAAACGTGGTTTATCGATCAGGTTAATCAAATACATGGCTCAATAGAAAGGCACACATATCAAGTCGAACGGCGCTACGGATTGTGCAGGTTGCTGAATTATCGTGTACAATGGGGACATTACGCGCTTCCGTGGCGAAACTGCCGATTGTTCCTGCGCATGGAACGAACGTTTCGTCCTGTATCTGGCAGTTTCAAACTACACTTCAAACACAATTTGACGGACAATCTGTTGTTCTGTTGAAGTGTGATTCCATGCAGACACGCTGTGATTCAAGAGAAGTAACTGTTTCGTGTTCAAACGTGAGGTTGAAGCATATTTATACACCATGTTTTATATTAAGTTTGTGATTGATTAATTTAAGTGGTTTTACTATTACTTGACGTCTGTAAAACGTAGTTGATGGAGCAGTTGGATTTCATAGGATTCTAGAGAATCACAGCTTCTATATTAACGCACGTCGATAGTCATAAAATCTGTTAACTATGCAGGCTAGTTATAATTCAGTTTGCAATCCTCCAAAAAGATTTCTACGGAGGCTGCTACATTAGTAAAACTTGTAAGGGGGATAATTGTATCTAGTTTGATGCTCCCTATTCCAGAAAAGCGAAGTCAGCCAAGTACACGAGTTTGATGATAAAGATTTTGAAACGGTCGATCATGATAGGGTGTTTTGGTTAATTATCAATACGGTAACATACGACCGGAAGTGTCAAGGACAGAAGTATCAAGCGTAAGTTTAAAAGTATAGGACAACCATACGTAATAGGATCACGAAATGCACAACCGGAGATATCTGAGTTGGACAGGTTCACTAGCCCAAACCAGCGCATTAAGCTAATTGAGGCTGGTATTCCAACACCCAAACGTATATCAGATACTTAAAGCAGTTAGTTCCCTTCAACAATTTGAAAAGCACGAAAAGAAGTCGAAGGCTGGGAGATGCATGCATTTCGTATTGTCTCCTCAGTACCATTAACAATAACCGATATACAGCAACACTAATGGCGAATGGATAAGCTCGAAGATTTACCAAGAAACACAGCCAACCGCGAGGGTCAAAGGACTTGGTGCACAAGGCAGCTAAGAAGAAAGTGTATATCGAGTTATCTTACAAAGGTGAGTTAGCCACTCTGAAGACAACTAAGCGTATAATTTCGGCTACACAAGAAAGTTACTATGCTGCACCAGATGTCGTCATCAACCGAACCCGAAATTGGCCCATACCCGCAACGAAGGAATCTCAGCCTATTGGGCACTACTCATACTGTGTATCCCAATTTATATGTGACCGCAGAAACAGTTACACAGGCAGAACTAATAGAACGCTGACTTCCGGAATAAAGGAACATGTACCAAGATGGGTTCAGCGTGAATTTGCCCAGATTGCCTACCCTCGTCAGATTCCATGCTCGCGCAGACCGTCGGCTTCCTCGATAGGCAAACATCTAGTAGACTCGGGTCACTGGATGGAGCTATGCTCAGCACTTAAATTTGTGTTACGTCACGCTAATCACCTCTTCCTTCGGTTTGCTAAGACTGTTGCTATAAGCTAGGTAAAGCCAGCCTAGTGTGTTTAAAAACAATTGTCAGCCTAAAGCTGCTTTGGACGTAGGTGTGAAGTTCCGTCATTCGTTTTGCACCTTAATCTTATCTGGTTGCACCGACTGTTAGCTATATCTATGCATATAGGTTATTGTTAATGGTATATCAGATAATCAGATTCCGCTTTGTTAATTTTTTCAAGGGATTCTTGCTTCATCAGATTGGTAGGTACTTCTTCCTTCCAAACAAGTTGACTCAGTGTGATGGAACTAGTGAAGGAGGATAAAAAGCAGAACGTGAAATATAAGTAGTTAATTTCAGAAAAACCTACTCATCGACTAAGCAAAATACTCTTCTTAACAACTCCCAAACGCCATGTGGCACATAGCCAAAGTTTGTGGAAGCCGTAGTTCCTTCGGTTAACCCATTCCTCTGCAATTTGCAAGCCAGGGTCAAATGAGTTGCGCTGTTCCGCATTTTGCCTGTAAATCACGACGGTTCTCTGTCTTTCGCCATGAGAAAATGGCATAAACTGTTGACTAGTGCCACAAGTTAACCGTATTCATGAATTTGGATCCCGACGAGGATGTACACCACAGACAAGCCCCGATAAAACGAAACTACTGTTTACTGCTTTTCCAGGGGGTGTGAAGACTATCTGACTTAAAAGCTGTCGCGCAAAATCCTCGATTAAAGAGTCAAATGTTTGGTTCTCGTGAAGTTGAGTGAAGCTTAAACAAGTGAAAAGCTTCTGCAAATATATACGACATAATAAATAAGCATCTGCTGTGTCCTAGTCAAAGACATTTAGCTTATTCCGACGTTGATATTTACCAGTACGAAGCAAGCAGGATAGCTATTTCTTCTATTAGGGTTTTGGATAAATGTAACATTTAACTGAGTAGCCTTTAAATCTTTTCTTTCAAATTTTATCCTGAGCTATGATTTGTGATTTTACGTATAATCTTTGTTCCAAAACGATCAATAACAGCACTACATACTTATCGATGAATAGAAAAGGTGTTGCGATGAATGCCGCTTGCAAAGAAATAGTCGATCGTTTTACTATAATTGCTCTATCGACATGTTAACCTACAAAATTAGCTTTATAGGTTTAACATTAGATGTGTTGTAAAAGCTGTATATGAGCCAGTTTTGTTCAGTTTCTCTGCTGGTAAAGTTCCTATTCATTTTTATACCTTTTCCTTCTTTTTTTAGTCTGCATTAGAGGTCATTTACATACGCGCACGGAATCTAAGACCAGTTAGAGGAAATCTCGTTTTTGTGAAAGGACTTCTTTTAATCGTTTAAAGATAGAGATACCCAGAAGGGTTTTCATTATAGTGTTTGCTTGGACGGCTTGATGAAGAGATAATGGCTCTAATTAAGGCTTTTACTTGTTGAAAACTTGCACCTGATATAGTTTTGCAAAATTACCCTTGGTGTCTCATAATAAATACCGCTGAACCCGAATCGCCTCTAGTGGTTCGATCTTACGCTCTGTACGCCTGCAAACCGACTGTTTTGGAGTATACATTTTTACGGATACTGCGCTAGCTGAATGAAACTACGAGTTAGCCATTTATCTACACCAAAATTAAGATGAAAAAACACAGTTTACGACTGAGCCCGCTTGGTTCTTATACTCTTCCCTGAAGGTGTTCTGGGGACACGCTGCATCACTGGCTAGACAAATAACTGGATATAGCGCGGTCACAATGTCAGTCGAACTCTCGTATCTGTTTCTCCTGTTCGTTTCTTTGACTATTCTATCTAATGGTGTAAACAATTATTCCATACTCTTGAGCTGCGACGTGTATCAAAAAAACAAGAACGCCCTTTTGACGCACGTCGTTTTTGCCCCCACTTTCACGTGTTAAAAAAAAGCCTTGATGACACGCTTTCTAACTTGCATTACTTGATGTAGTTCGTTTCACTTGGAGGAGGAAATAATGCAAACCAAACTGTGTGCTTAACAGCACTCTCCGCAACGTGGCGGTGAAGATACGTACAGGAGTGTCCTTGTGAGTAGCATGGATGTATCTAAACTGGAGTAACTTGTCACATCGGTCAAGTGAAGCAGCACATGAGTCAGCGTCTTTTTATTCACAACTTGTGCACAACTTGTCAAAACGCTTGGAACATTCGGCTGAATAGTTGGAAAGGCAATTGAATCGATCGAAATTGTTAGATTTCTCGCCGGCCACTGATCGCCCCGCTCCGTGGGCTGTCCTTTTGGATGCTTCCTATCGCTCAGAAGTTGAACGAGAGATTGCACTGTTGAAGTTAAATAAAGCCGCGGGACCAGATGGTGTTCCTCCAACCCTCTTCCGATTCGGGGGGACCTGCTCTTGTGGATGATTTATACGAGTTACTAGTGAGACTGTGGGAGCAGGAAACTGTCCCAAACCGACTGGAGCCGCTCCGTCATGGTCCCAATTTTCAAGAGAGACTCACTATCAGAATGCGGCAACCATAGAGGAATCAACTTGGTCTCCATCGCTTCCAAATTGCTTGCCTCTGTCATCCTTCACAGACTGACTGACACTCTTGCAAGCCAGATTCGTGAAGAGCAAGCTGAATTTCGCCGAGGTCGTGGCTGTATTGACCACATCTTCACTTTGCGTCAGTTACTGGAGCACCGTCACACATATTGGCGGCCCACCGTTGTCGTGTTCCTCGATCTCAAAGGTGCTTTCGATTCGGTGAATAGACGTGCATTTTTGGACTGTCTACTCAGGAAAGGTGTACCTGAGAAATATGTGAATATTATCCCATCATTATACGCGCGTAGCTCGGGCAGAGTGAGGGCTTACGGCAAGTTGTTGTCGCCCTTTAATATCTCCAGCGGTGTGAGACAATGATGCCCGCTGTCTCCTTTCTTCTTCAACTTCGCTATTGACAACGTAATGGAAATCACGTTCACAGAACACGACCTAGAAATTGTGTATCTGCTCCCAGGAGAACGACATCTTGACTTAGAGTATGCAGACGAAATTGCCCTCATCTGTGACAGCTCGCAGACGTGCCAAGCGGCACTGGACAGATTAGCACTAGCCGTCTGTCACTTCTAGCTTAGCTTTGCACCCTCGAAGTGCAAAGCGCTCCTCCAAAATTGGTCTGGACCACCTCGTTCGCTGACCCTTGGTGGGGATCAGCTAGATGTCGCACAAAAATTCAACTACCTGCGAAGTTGTATCTGCGCCCTTGGGATCGAAAACGAGATCACGAGCCGTATAGCAAAAGCTCGGGGTGCTTTTGCTAACCCACGCTAGTTAAGAAGCCGGTGCGACATCACTCTCACCCTAAAGGGTAGAGCGTGCAATGCAGCGGTACGCTCGACCTTACTGTACGGTTGTTAAACCTGGTCCCTTAGATCAGCGGACCTGAAGATGCTAGTTACGTTCGGCCACGTGTGCCTTCGTATTTTGGCTCATATCTGGTGGGAACACCGCGTGAGCAATGAGCATGTTCGACGCCTTGTTTAGGGCACAAAAAATGAAATGAACCGCTTAGCACCGTTATTTCACGTACCGGGCTCCGATGGCTGGGCCACTTGTTACGCATGCCAGCTCACCGACTCCCACGAAGTGTGTTGTTTGCGTGCCGGGGGTGTGGATGGAAGAAGAGGAGAGGTGATCTTTCCATGACTTGGCAGAGAGGAATGAAGGCCCCCACTTCGAAGCTCGCCTCATTTGGAATGTCTCGGCTCCCTGGTTGGAGTCTGAAAGACGATGAACACGTTTGGTTGGATACACTAGTTGCTATGGCTAGGAGCCGACCTCAGTGGCGTTCGTACTGTGAGTTCCTTTGTCCCA